GATCCAAAGGCTAGATTTTATTCTTATTTCTTTCACCAAGGAGCATTCTCACGTGAACCGACATCCATCCATCCATCCATCCATCCATCCATCCATCCATCCATCCATCCATCCATCCATCCATCCATCCATACATACATACATACATACATACATACATACATACATATAATTTCTTGTGTTAAAAGTAATTCTCACCTAAACCACACTAATATATTTATATATTTTAGGAGAAGATTTTTATTGATTTAATAACGCAGAAAGGGAAGGGTTACATCTGCCATAATGGCTCCCTTAACAGAAGGGGGAATAGATGAAAGTGAAATACATTGAGAAAAGAAATTTTTCTTGCTAGCCCATTTGGCTAGATTATGTGCTCCCATATTTCCTTCTTTGTAAATGTGACGCAGATTGTTTCCATGTTCTTGGATTGCTCGTTGAACACCTGTCCATACCTCTCGATCAACTCCCGGGTTTTTGTTTCCATGCATTGCTTTTGTGATCGTCTCCGAGTCTGTGTGGGCCCAAATCTTGTATTTAGTCCAAGAAGTAAAGCCCATGCTTCTCCTTCTAGAGTATTGCTTGTGTTGATGCTCCATGTGATGGCTGCCATAAAGTTTCCATGACTGCTGCGTAGGATAGCTCCCCCTATCATCTTTAAGTTCGTGAATGCTACATCTGTTGAAAGATGTAGACAGTCTTCTGGTGCTTGCTTCCAACGATGGATTTTGATCTTATGTGTGCGGATCTGAATGGGAGAGAGCTCTGTGGGAAGACGCCAAGCGCCATACCTCATAAGCTTGCTAGGTGCTCTCCCTAAAACCCAGGATTGTAACTTCCCTATACAGTCCTGAATTAATTTGTGCTTTTCCTTTGCAGTGTTTTCATTTAGACGAAGATTTCTCTCCTTCCAGATTTGATGAAGTGTGATCCCTGGTAGGATGCCTTTGATCTATCACCTTCTCCCCTGAAGATTTCTAGCACTAATATACATACATACATATATATATATAATGAAAGGCCTCTCTCTCTTCATTCTCTCCCCCGCCTCCACCGCCGCATCAACCTTCCCTTCTCTCCTGTCCAGTGCACCGATGAACTTCCGGCCACTTTTCTGTCGCAGCTCCGAATCCTCTGGACCTCGTCATCTTCCCCCCTACTCTACTACAGCTCCTCCCAAACCTTGCCATAATGTGAAACGCTCATCCACAGATGTTCTTGCTCAAGGTTCTTCACATGTATCCCCCCAGCTCCCCCCTAAGACCATTGATAGGCACAGGGGGTTTCCATCTATCACCTTCTCCTCTGAGGAGGTGAAACTTCTCTCTGCCCCTTTTGAATTTGCTCTGATAGGACGATTCCACTGATGCGGAGGACTACAAGAGATGTTTTGTTAAACGTTTGTGGAGTATTCAGGGTTCCTCCATGCAAGTCTTCAAATGGTCCTCAAACTTCCGTTGTGACGAAGAGAACCCAATTTTTCCGGTTTGGCTCTCTCTGGAACAACTCCCGGTCCATCTGCATATTCCAAGTGCCCTCCTCTCCATCGCCAACATTTTTGAACGTCCTTTAATGCTGGACTCCTCGACTTCTGCAAGAATCCGTCCATCCGTAGCTCGCTTCTGTGTACAGCTTGATGTTAGCAAGGAGCTCCCTCCTAAAATCTTCATCAACAATGGAAGCATAGGCTTCTGGCAACCCATCATCTACGAACAGTTGCCGGAGTTCTGTACCGCATGCAGAAAATCTGGCCATTACACTGCAGTTTGCAGAGATAAATCCCAAAACAAGGGGTTGCTTCCAAAACCAAAAGATGCCATTGGACAAGCTGTCAAATCTGATTCAGAAAAAGGGCCCTCAACTGCAGGCTCCCTGGTCCTCCTATATGCGTCAGACGTATCATAGAAAAGGAAGATAGAAATCGGTTCTTACAGACTCCCAACCCTGGAAACAGATCTGCAAGATTAATAACCTTTGCTCTCTCCATTGCAACTTTGATCAGGGATCCTTCGTTTGGGAACCTGGAGAAAATGGATCCTTAAGCCTTGACTCTGCCCACAACTTAGTAAGAAAGGAGGGCCCTTTGCTAGCTACGGCCTTCTACATTTGGGAGAAACTTCACCCTCCTAAAATGAACATGCTGCTCTGGAGAATCTCCCGGCAGAACCTTCCATTCCCTGAAAACCTCCGGAAACTCAATTTCCACATGCCCTCCATCTGCCCTTTCTGTAATCGGAATGAAGCTTCAATTCTCAAGACCACACTCTCATGCTCTGCCCAGAAGCCAGCGCTATCTGGAATCATTTTGGATGCCTCCTCAATGGGCCACTGATTAGCGATAGTAACATTAACTCTAACCTCTTACTGTGGGGGTTGTCAGGCCGTGGCAACTGCTCTATCTCCAAACTAGAATATGACACCCCCAAATTAGTGCTCTGGTCTCTCTGGAGAAACTACAATGACATCATATACCGAGACAAAATTCAATCGGTCCAATATCATTGCCCAGATCCATGCTGAGCTGAAATGCTGGGCTATAGCTAAAAGGATAAACGTTAAAGGTTTCCAACACCCAGGACCCATTTGTATGACTAAGCGGATCACCCCCCCCACCCCGCATGGCAAATGAAGATCAATATTGATTTAAGAGAAACCCCATATGGCTGTTCAGGGGGGGCCATCTTGAGAAACCACCATGGACACTTCATTCATGCCATATCCTTTCCTCTCACCCAAACGGATGCCCTTCATGCCGAAACACTTGCAGTTGCCCAGACTCTAGCCTTCTACGAGATCATGGATTGCTTCATTGAGGTTGATCTCCCTCTCCCTCTCTCACAGAGAGAAGTTACCCATTCTCTGGCCTCCTTCTCCCTCTCTCACAGAGACGATCTCATTCATTGGCCAATGAATGGTACAGAACTCCAGAGAAGAAACAAAAGAACGAAATGAATTCCAACCCCGTAATAGGAAAACAAAAAAGATAATTGTGGAGAAGAAACAACAGAACAAAATGAATTCCAAATCACTGAAACGAAGAAACCAGAAGCCATAAATGCAGGTGTTGACGGCAGCGATGGTGAACGAAAGCCATGGTGGCATATCTACTTCCCTCTGGGGGCAGAGCCGGCGGATCTACATCGCAATGGTGGAAATATGCTGGGATTTTCATATCTAAAATCCGGCTGCCATAGGTTAGGGTTTTGGAATTTCACGTCGATCTCCTTTCTGAGTCGCTAGATAATTTTTGGCGACCGGCTGGACTAAGGCGACGACTAACTTGATCAGGCGTCCCTAAGGCGACGACTAACTTGATCAGGTGAAACATGGCTAGGCAAAGTTTGATGGCGTGAACTCTATGCCGCCAGGACGCCTTGTGCTAGCCTAGACAACGCCGTGACAACTTTGCGCTAGAGTCCCTTCTCACAATCTGCAATTCTTCATGAACGTTACATAGTGTCCTACAGATATCCCACCATGCGACACCTCTCTTTCAGGGCATGCATATTTTATACCAGCATTTCTTAATTGTTCTTCAACTCCGATTCATTCATCTTTCAAGAGAGCAGTAAAAGCAAAACCCTAGACAAGGATGATAGGCTCTAATACCACTTATACGCCTTTTAAATATTGAGTGAAATTCTTAAAAACAAGAAAAGAGTAGGGAGAGAACAAGAGATGTAGAAGTTCACAGCAATTTCAGATAGAAAAAGAAACTACGTGATCTGAATAATATCCAAGGAAAAACAAAATTATACAATGACTTTAGGTAGGTATTTATAGCCATAGGTAAGACTCCCCAAGCGGGTAGGAATCCTTGAAGGCTAACTACAAAAACAACAACAAAGCCTTATCCCACTAGGTGGGGTCGGCTACATGGATCAAACGACGCCATTGCACCCTATCATGTATCATATCTGCTCTGAGATTGTTCACGCGAAGGTCTCTCTTGATCAATGCTTGCCAAGTGCTCTTAGGTCTACCTCTTGCTCCAGCCACATGCCTATATACCATTTGATCAACCCTTCTCACAGGATGCTCTTTTGATCTTCTCGCCACATGTCCAAACCACTTAAGACGAGTTTCCACCAACTTTTCTACAATTGGTGCCACCAACTTTAGCTCTCATATCTTCATTCCTTATTCTATCCATACGCGAATGACCGCTCATCCTAGAAGGCGAACTAAATAACTAATTTAGGGCTAACAAACTATTCCAGGCCAGTCACTAGCTGCTAACAGTATCAGGGATATAGGGCTTTTAATATTTTTACATACCATCTTCAATTGAAAATTTATAATAACCATAATCACCTTAGCAAGGAAAGTTCCAAATTCATCCAACTTCTTCTTCAATGGTGTCACTTCCTACACCCATAAGACAAAAAACTAACAATATAAGTTTATCTTATCTAAGAAAAGCAAGTTCTATGTACACCTAAGATAATCACGTAAAATACTCACTTCTTCAGTATTTAGCATTGAATCACGTATACTTCCCATTGCAGTATTTGAACCAACTCCAATAACAACAGCCCTTGCTCTGCCTGCAACCACTACAGTGCCCTTCCAAACAAATAGAATGTTATCTAATGTTTGTATACAACATTGCCTTGAAAAAGTAAACTTAAAAATCCCACAGGAACTATGGTTGCTAACTGCCTACATGCAACTATGGTTGCAATAAGAAAAAAAGAGATTATGAAAGCATAAATGAGAAGGACCGTATAGATGCAATAACAACATGAGAAATAAATATTACACGGATGAGATATTTCATGAATACCAAAAAGCTATCACGCACTTCAAGGACAATTTTTCTTACTATAGGAACATGAAAACATGATTGCTAAACCAGGTAAAAGTTCATTTTACCATTCCGGGTTTTTGTTGAAATATAATGTCAAAACAATACTTTAACCTTTGTGAGTACTAGTGTAGCCTTAGCTGATTACGTAGGCCAAAACAAGCACTATATTCAAAATTTTGATATTAGCGAGAATATGTGTCTTAGAATATATATCCAAGGAAACAAAGGAGAACCTTGGTAAATGAATTTTCAATTTTCATTCCTTAGTCCTTGGGAGATACCAATTACTGCACACTTATCTTGGAATATACCTAAAAAGAAACTACCAAAAACAGTACACACAGGTAATGTGATATACCCCAGGATGACTCTACCAAGTCATCGCCCACGCCACAAGAGGCCAAGGAAATAAAAGGGCTTATGATCAAATGTTATGATCCGTTTTAAGTAGAATTCACTACTCCTAAAACCTCAAACACATAACCACATTTCTAGCCCAAAACACACCTCTGACAAAAACTAAAATAGCCCAAAGCCCAACATTAATCCTTAACTCCCATTTTACTCTAGAAATACTAATAAAGCTGCAATAGGTGAATGGCCTCCGTGGTCGACCGACCAAGCATGAAACCAAACTTATTCTCGAGAATGCACACCCCCTTCTGTAGCATGATACCTCTATAATTGTCACAACACTGGATATCGCATTTACCCTTGTACTGCGAGACCATCACACTCTCCCTCCACTCATATGGCATCTTAGTCGTCTTAAAAATAACATTGAAGAGCCTCGTCACCCAAACCAACTCACTCCTACCCACGTACTTCTAAAACTCCGCCGGAATATCATCCTGCCCCAATTCTCTCCCCCTTCTCATCCCACAAATGGCCCGTGCCACCTCATCTTGACTATTGCACTAACAAAAACTAAAGTTTTGACGCCTCTCAGATTGCCCCAGCTTGCCTAACCCAAGTCTCAGTTCCCCGCTTGCATTCAAAAGGCCATGGAAGTACTCTCCCCACCAGTTGGAAACCTCTCTCGCATCAAATACAACTCTACCATTGATATCCTTCATGCATCTCACGTGTTCCAGATCCCTAACCTTCCTCTCACGCATTTTAGCTAGCCGGAAAAGCCTTTTATCACCACCTCGCTCCTCAATGTCCTTATACAGGTGTTCAAAAGCAGCATTCTTTTCCCTTGTAACCTCTAACTTTGCTTCCATGCGGGCAACCTTGTACTCCAATTTAAGAGACGCCTATTCTTGTTCATCACTACAGTCCATAAACCTCCTATACACAATCTTCTAAGCTTCTACTTTACTTCTGACCACATCACTCCACCACCAATAACCTTTATGCCAACCTCCAGCACCGTAGTTCATGCCTAGCACTTTTCTGGCAGCTTCTCGGATGCATTTATCTATCTTACACCACATGTCGTTTGCCTCTCCCGAGGATTCCCACTCACCTTTCTCCTGAACTCTTGCAGCTAACTCAGGAATCTTCTCCCCACCTAAACACCCCCAGCGGATTTGCGGACAACCACCGGCAATTCACCTCTTCTTTACCCACCTGATGCTAACATTCATCACCAGTAACATGTGTTGGGTAGTAAGGTCCTCACTCGGGATTACTTAGTGTCCTTACAAAGCACCTGGTCACACATACACAGAAGGAAGTAATCGATTTGTGTCCTCCCCAGTCTGCTAACAAAGATAACCAAGTGATCCTCCTAATCACTTGCTCCAGCAAAATGCAAAAGTGAAACCCCTTCTGCGTTCCTATCACCAAATCCAATCCTACAATGTACTTCCTCAAAACCATCTACCGAATCCCCAATATGGCCATTAAAGTTTCCCCGAATAAAAGCTTTCTCTACCTGCAGATACTGCCCATCACCTCATCAAGCGTCTCCCAAAACTGTATCTTGCTGTTGTCAACCTGTTGTCCAAGCCAACATGAGGAGAATAGGCACTTGCAACATTGATAGCAAAGCCACCCAACATTAAATTATTGGCCAAAAACTGATCACTAATCCTCCTCACCTCCACCACAAATTCCCACAGTTTTGGCACCACAAAAATACCAACTCCGTTCATGCCCCTACCAACACCTGAATGTATGTAAAACACAAGTGTGCCAATAACCTAGTCTCTAAGTTGACCATATATATCAGAATAAAATAAAATACATTTCTCCCATATACATGTACATGTACATGTACATTTACATGTACATAGACATACACATATACATATACATATACATACACATACACATACACATACACATACACATACACATATACATATACATATACATATACATACACATACACATACACATACACATACACATACACATACACATACACATACACATACACATACACATACACATACACATACACATACACATATACATATACATATACATATACATATACATATACATATACATATATATATACTCCCTCCGTCCATTTTTAATGTTTCTACTTTCCTTTTCGGTCCGTCCACAAATAAAATTTCTATTTCCTTTTTTGGTAACTTTTCTTTACTAAAATGACTCAAGTATCCTTATCCTCACTTCATATTTTCTCTTTTTCTTTTTCTCCTCTCTTTTATTCTCTATCCCTCGTTTCCCTCATCTTCCTCTCTTTTCTTCTTCCCAGCTCCCCCCTTCTTCTTCTCTTTTTTTTGCCGACCCATGTTTTCCTTTCTTTCTTTTTTCTTCTTCTTCTTTCATTCTTCTTCTTCTTCTTCTTTCTTTTCTTCTTACAGTCATTATACTCTTCATTTTCGCACTGCAAATCCTCGGATCTTTTCATCCACCTTGCTCACCATCTTCTTCCCTTTTTCAGATCTATGAAACTTTCTTTTTTTAGATTTATTTGAAATTTTTGGAGATCCCAGAGGCCGGAGGTGAGGCGGCGGTCAGAGGTAGCCGCGGAGCAAAAAGGCTAGAGTCGAAATGGTTTGAAGCAACAAGGAACAAGTCTAGATCTAAAACTTCGATTGCACAGACAAAATGAAGGAATGGTTTTGAAGCTTCGACTGTTTGCCGACTAACCCTGAATGAGGGAGGGCGGCGGAAAGGTCTCGATTGATGGTGAAGTTTTTTGCCAGGGTAGTTGGGTTTAGGTCGCTGGGAGGGATTTGGGGCTGGGTTAATTGGCTGGTTGATTGGTTGGGGACGTGGGGTTATGTGTAGGGGTATTTTGGGGAGGTCAACACATTTTCACTTTTTCTTAATCTCCGTGCCCAGTCAAACCCTGAACATTAAAAATGGACGGAGGGAGTATATATATATATATATATATATATTGGAACGGTCGGTTACAAGCAGGGGGCCTGAGACCCGTTAACCTCGTGACCACCCTAGGGTCCGTTAAACACCCGTTATATATATATGCACACACACACATGTATATATATACACACATATGTATATATGTGTATGTGTGTGTGTGTGTGTTTTTATTTTTATTATTATTATAACTATTATTATTATTATTATATAAGCATCAATTTCAAACTTAGAATGTAGGCATTACATTATCTTGGTATCACTAATACATTCTTTTTTTAAACATAGTAAGCGTAGCATAAATGTCTATTGGTGGCTATGGGAAGCCGCTAGGCTTTCCCATCCTTCTCAAGAATTTAAAGTTTCAACATATTTGAAAACCATTTTATTGTTCCCTTGCAAGGACTTGATTGTGTAAAAAAGAAAATGTATGGTGTGCTCAAACTCTTACAGTTTTATTAATTCAATAATGGTATAATAGTCATCTACTCTTTGGGATAGATGTAACATCTGTGTATATTTTGACCCCAACCCCACTTTTAAGTGCGATATTTATTCTACGAAGTATATGTTTAGTTTGGTTAATAACGTTAAACTGGCTCTTAATATGTCAGGCAAAGAAAGTGTTATCTCATCTCCGAGATGGTGATCACACCCATGAAGATGAGGATGGGGCAAGGACCTTCTGGAAGTTCTCATCTCTTATGGAATAAACTTACTGAGAAAAGGATGTTCGTCTTATCTTGGTACACTGCATTGGTAGTAGTTGTTGCATCAAGCTCTTTCTCTACGGAGCAGCTTTCACCTGTCATTGGATAGAAGATAACACCCAAAAAGATAACTTATACGTGTATGGGTGTGTGTGTGTGTGTGTGTGTGTGCATGGAATAGGTTACATTAGGTGCCACTCGATGAATGGGTGCTCTTTTAATACAAAAAGTAAAGTGTGCACAAATTTTGTTAGCATTTAATGAAATCTAGATTCTAGAATGACCATAATCATTTGATGTGAAATCTAATGGTTGAGATTAAGTTCACATGAATGGGTACTTTCAGGTGTGCCCATTCAAACAAGTCTCATATTCAATTACTTATTTATATATTCAAACAAACTAAATACTCCTTGTTCCTTTTTGTCAAACTAGGGCAGCAGTGCTAAGACGCAGAATACAACAACCCAGTATAATCTCAACTTTCTTGGGGGTCAAGATATAGGCAGTCTTACCCTGAAGAGGTTGTTTTCGTTTTCGTTAAACCATAGATGCATTGCTACATTCACTCAAAAGTCAAAACTTCATAGAAGGTAACAAGTCATAGAAGGTAATAGGTAGGGGAGGATGAATGTGTCATTTTGATTTACAGGGTGTTTCTATATGCTTATAAGTTGGTCAAAACTACTTAAAAATTGTCTTTAACTTAAATTGAGTTGATGATGTGTTCATGTCTGCTTATAAGCTGACATATAAACTGCTTATAAGTCAAAAAAATAAATAGGTCTAACTTAACTATTCTAAGCCAGTGTTTACGTTTCACTGTTTTGACCAAATTTATTAAAAAACTATCCCCAGCCTTTTATGAATATCCTGAAATGACACATCTCTCATTTGAGTCACTTTACAAAAATCCCTCAATAAGCAACTTATAAGTTAAACAATACTTATAAACAATAAGAAACACTCCCTTAGACTATTATGTGCCTGATGCTAAGACAATGTCACAATCTTTTAGCTCCAATGACGATGAAAAATAATTAACATTGATGGTTTTAAGGTGAAAAGAGTTTTAAAAATTAAAATTGAAACAATATCATATCTAGAGAGGATTAAAATTAATGGCTTAAGAAAACAACAAACCAAGTATAATCAATAATGCACATCATTGGGGTTTGTAGGGGTGGTCAAGATGTATGCAACCGTACCCAAATAAAAGGGGGGGGAGTTATTGTGTTAACACCTAACACCCTTTATGCATTGCTGCATTTTTAAAATAGTCTGACCAACTCCTTTGTACCAGCTTCGAACCTTTAACAAGTGGGTTCAATTTGGAATGTTCCGTACCCAACAACCATGCGAAAGGAAGCCAACATGCATTGCTGCATTTACTTCCCAAAACTTCTTAGAAAGTAAAAAGCAAAAGAAGTTTAATGAGTCATTTTGTTGTGCCCATTATTTACCCTAAGCTAAAGTATTGTAAAAATGACTCTTTTAGCTCCATAAATAAACATAAATAACCCAAATACATAAAGCTAATGTAGAATACACTTAACTACATACCATACTCATACCCTTGTCTGAGTAAACAAGTGCAAGAGTCAAATTTATAAACTAACCAGTAAGAATTGCCTGGTCAACACGCAGTTGATTGCTCAAAATCTCTATCATTCTCAAATCTGCTGGAACTTTGCAGCCCACTACTCATTCAAAGAAGAGAAAGAAAATTCATTGGAAATGTATGGCATATTAAAAAAGCATATATTAGACATTACAAATTGATAAAATGAAATTTTAAAAAAAAAAACTTAACGTACCACTGACTTCAACAATATCCCCAGGGACAAGGTCTGTAGCTGGTACTATTGAAAAGCAGCCTAATAATAGAATTTGTCCATAAGTAAAGTAAGCACACCACAGTTTTTTCAGTTGAAGCAATAAAGACAGAATAAATATTTATGCAGGTGAAATTGGGACCTTTTAGGAGACTACAACAGCCCATGGAGCTTTGAAAAAAAGCAGCCCAATGTTATATTTAGAGCTTAGGGGAATGAAAACAGGCAGTAAAATCTTAAGGGCAATTACATTATGTATGGCTTTGAACTAATGACTCGATTCAAGTTATACTTCTTATGCTTTCGTTGTTGATGTTGCGCTCTTATTCTTTTCACCTCCAATTCACTTTAAGAGTCCTATTTCAGAAATTGTACAAATAGCACAGCTTATGCTTTATTCTTGGAGTATGCAAACTACGAGTTTATTACTAATACATTTTCATAGAGGAAATCCTCTGTTACGGTGTGGTAGGGTGGCAAACCTGTCCGCGAGACACTTGACCATGCCAATGTCCTTTTAATTAAGCTTGCAATTGTATACTATTGGATGAGGTAAAGCCCTATGTATAATACTCCCAACAATCCTGGAGAGTATTGAATCCCAATTGATAACAATATTGCTATTAGGAGTATTAACTAGGATAGAATACTAATAGGAAAATCTTACTCCTAATTATGATAATGATAATAATAATAATAATAATAATAAAATACTACTCCCTCCGTCCCTAAATAAACTTCCCTTTTTGACATTTTGAGGATTTAAGGGAAAGATATTTTTGTGTTGACTTTCCAAAAATACCCTTGATGTGATGTGTAAAAGTAAGATGTGATATGTAGATTATTAGTAAAAAGGTATGATGTGATAGGTAGGGTATGAAAAAGTAAGGGGTAAAAGGGTTTTTTTTAAGGGAAAAGAGAAGTTTATTTGGGGACAAAGAAAAAATGAAAGGGAAAGTTTATTTAGGGACGGAGGGAGTAGAACTTATTATAACTAATAATACGAAACTAATACTTATTTTACTAAATAATACTCCCTCCTTCCAGGAATAAAGTTCCCGTTTTGACTTTTGGTCATTTTTATTGATGGTTGACCAAGCACTTGAAACCTAAAATACCCCTCTTGTCCTTGTTGCTTTTCCTCCTGAACACAACCGCACCCAGCCCCCGCCACCGCTCCCCTCAGCTTCCACCATCTCCGGAAGGCCTCACCACCCAACAAGAAATCGTCCTCATCAAAACAAGAAATTCAAGAACTCGCCCTCACCAAAACAAGAAATTCAGGAAATTGCCCTCATCAAAACAAGAAATTCAAGAAATTGTCCTCACCAAAACAAGAAATTCAAGAAATTAAAGAAATCCTCGTCCTCAATCGTCCGTCCTCACCACCACCACCAGCTTGAGAAGCAAAATAAGACCTGTGAAGCAAAAGCTTTGATAAGGGGGAGAGAAAGAACAAGGAAGATCGGAAGAAAGAAAAGAAGAAGAGAAGCGAGAAGAAGAAGAAGAAGAAGAAGAAGAAGAAGAAGAGGAGGAAGGTGAAGAAGAAAAGGAGGGTGGGGTGGGGGGAAAGAGAGAGGATCAAAAGGGTTAGTAGATGTTTCGGAGAAAGAAAAAGAAGAAAAAGAAGAAAAAGAAGAAAAGAGGAAGAAGAGGAGGAAGGGGTGAGGGGAAGAGAGAGAGGATTGAAAGGGTAGATGTAGTGGAGAAAAAACGAAGGGGGGAAGAAGAAAGAAAGTAAATGACATAGGGTATTTAGGGTAGTTTGTGTGTTAAAAATTGAAATAGAAACTTTATTTCCGAACGGGAAAAAAGGAGAAATATGAACTTTATTTTCAGAGGGAGGAAGTAATAGTTATAATAATACTTCCTCCGTCACTTTTAAATCTTTTCATTTATTGTTCACATGGTCAAACTATATCATTATTCTTTATAAATTTTCATTAATCATTTGATAAATTAGTCATGTGATGTCACCTCTTGTTTTCTAGAGCTTTCTATCTAGATTTGGAATATATAAAATTTATTTTTTACTTTTAAACCATTATTTAAATATATTGAATTGAAAATAACTTCAGTCAAAAATCGAGGATTTGCAATTTCAAATAGGAAGATTATTTGGGACTGGGGGAGTATTATTAAAGCATGTGGTGGTATCATTACTCGCCCATGTGGATCTCAAGCTTGAAAGTGTGTGATCCCAATAGTCAACATTTGCCTCAATCAAATGGCAACATTAGAAACCTCATGGATGTGACGAAATATGACTCATATATGAACTGAGTTATTGATCAATGGAGCGTGAATAACCACATCAAAAGTAAAGGGTGTAAATATACCATGATTCAGTAAAGTTCTTGATTTCCATTAAAACTTTTGGAGCAGCCAAAGTGCTAGACTTTGGTGTGGGAGTAGGCAAATCTTCTTGTAGCGGGGGCCACAAACAACACAATTGGTGGTGGTAACATATTTGACGATGGAGACGATAGGATCATTGCCCACGGATGTAGTGTTGTGGAGGTGGTGCTAGCGTTGCAGTCTGCCATAGAGCATGCAATGGAGTGGTTGGCTCTATATTTCACAACAGATCTAATAGTCTTGACAAAAGTTTGGTCAAGATGTGGAGATAGGGATTAAGGGTGTGGCAGTTGTAATTGATATTTATGTTGCAACATTCTTCTTGAATATTTTTCCATGAAATCCCACTTTGGCAGTTATTGCATCTACATCTAGAACGGAATCAAAGTATATCATCACTTAAAGTTCAATCCCATCATATATCAAAACTTCAATATGTTGGACCGATTTGAACCGTACACCCTCCCTAGACCATGTTGTTGTAGGATTCTACTGGTTTGCTGAAATTTAGAGCCACAAATGTGCATAGCCTAAGGCTGTGTTCCCTTCATCTAAACTCAGTGGCAAATCCAGAAAAGGTTTTGTTGGGACAACTTATATATTGAAAGTAAATTAAAGTGACAAAAACAAGAGATAATTAAAAAGAAAAAAAATTTACTTTTTATAATTGTTCTATTTGAAAACTTACACAAACATTCAAAGATTCATCCCCTTTTCGATTCCACAAATCATATTTCACATGTTCCATTACAGAAAAAACGTTTCTCAACAGTTTTCGTAGTAAAAGACAAACCAATGCAAGCTTCGATAAGTCATAGACCAAAGGAAATTGGAAATGTGAGATTTTTTTTTCTTGAATTTATCATCAATTTGGCAAGATGAGTTAAGCCAATCACGATATCGAATAGAGAAGGATATAGCAACACCCTTATTTTAATTATTCTTATTAGTAATTATAAATTACTATTAATCTTTATTATTAGTTATTATTGTAATTCATTATTATTCTTTTTATTATTTAGTTATTAGTATTACTACTATTATTATTTAATATATTAATTATTATTATTATTCTAATAATAATAATAGTAATAATTACTTATTATTATTACTACTATTATAAGTATTAATTATTGTTAGTAGTATTAATATTTTCTTTATTTTTTAATAATTACTATTATTATGAAGTATTATTATCATAATGGTGAGAATAATTGTAATAATATTAATATTAAATTTTTTGGATCTGAATATATCTTATCTGATCTGAATTAATTTGAATGGATCTAATTTGATTCCAATACAAATAAGTAATACATAGTATAAATAAGTTCAAGAGAACGGCGCCTAACACTCCATGTTTGGGTGATTTTTTGTGATTTCTTTGCCAAAAAAAACATAGAGAAGACAAAAAACTGATATAAAAAGGGTAAGAAAGAAAATGGCTTTGATAGCAAAATGTTACGGGCATGATGGAGATTTGGGCAAACTCATCTATGATAAAGTCTACATAGGAAGAGATCAGTCCTTGTCGAAAGCCCTAGATAGACTTGATCGTGTCAACGTCTAATAAATTAAGCTAGCAACTTTATACTATTGATTGAGGTATAGCCATGTTTATCATTATCTAGGCTCCTAGCAATCCTAATGAGTATTTAATCCTAAATACAATATTGCTATTTTTAAAGAATTTAACTACAATAGAATACTAATTGAAAACTAAAAATAATGATGATCAATAATAATAATAATAACAACAACAATAATTATAATAAAGGGTGTTGCTAAATCCCCTCCTCTTTTTCGTAAATCCACCCCATTTATGAAAAATGTCCAAGTTTACCCTTAAGTTAGTCAGCATGTTGCGTTTCCTTGTTTTTACACTTTTAAGGTTAGGTTAAATTTGTTTATTTCTGACAAAAGGTGTGGATATACCAAAAAGAAGAGCGGATGCATCATTCATCATCGGCTAGATTAAAATGACACCCATTTTGAATGTCATGTTATGAAATTTGCCCAATTGAGGCTTATACAGTGCTGTTTGAAAAATTGATGGTTCTTACCCCTTAACCCTCTAGTAAACCCCTCACTCCGGCCTGAATCGAACTCACCCTTCCAACACTTTCAAATGCACCGCAAAGTCAACTAAATATGGGGGTGCAAATGAAGACGACAGGAAAGTGGATTCGAGTGGCCGGGGTGGGGGTTAGGAGGATAGGAACCATGAAATTTTTGAACGGAACACCATAGGAGTCTCAATTAAACGAGTGTCATAATATGACGCCCAAAATGCGTATCATTCCCACCTAGCATAATAATAGTAGTAATAACACGCTTGTGTCATTTTAACCTAGCATAATAATGGTAGTAATAACCATGCTCGTATTATTACACCCCACATGAACCTCAATCTAGAAAGCAAATAATCTCAATAGTCAATCCGTGTGTTGACCAAATGGTAGTATAAGTGTGAGAAACCCATCATTTATGAAATTTCCATATATGCAATTTATGAAACTCTGGTGTAAAGCTACGAGCCTTGCATTGTTATCAAGGCATCGCCAAGGCGTCTGGGCGTTTTTATGGAGATGCCACATTGGACACCTAGCTTGAAAATGCCTAAGGCGATGAGGCACTCGCCTCTTGCCTAAGGCGATGAGGCACTCGCCTCTTGCCTAAGGCGATGAGGCACTCGCCTCTTGCCTAAGGCGATGAGGCACTCGCCTCTCGCCTAAGGCGATGAGAAACTCTATTTTTTTAAACGTAACATTTGTTTAATCCCAAGGTGTGGTATATTTTTAATGCTTTACTCCTACTTTAGTCTTTTTCCCTATTGCTATTAAGGATTATTAATTAACTAGAAAAAAAGTACTAATAGGAAACTATTACTACTAAGCACTAATAACACTAGGACTTATGGCTAAAATAATAGGAAATTAACTCTTATATTACAAAATACTAACATTAATAATAATAATAATAATAATAATAATAATGCTCCCTGTGTCCCACAAAGATTTTCCCACTTTTTCATGTCCCAAAATAACTCTCACTTTTTTCCTTACCCATTTTAGAAAAGAATGCAGTTTACAAAATTTCTCTCTTTTAAACCAACTCTAACCACACACTTTTCTATTTTCAACACTTTTCTTAATATTCGTGAAATCAAAGTGAGCAAAATTTAATACTCCCTCCGTCCCATATCTTTCTTCTCACTTTCCTTTTTGAGCCGTCCCATTTCTTTCTTCTCGTTTCATAAAAAGGAAATAAAATATCCTTCAAAAGACTCTTTTACCCTCACCCTCTCTGTCAATCTACCTCGTCTCTCTTCTCCTCTCCAAAACGTTCAGCCCTCTCTCCAATTTTCATCTCTTCACTACCTTCCCTCTTCTCTCCAAAGTGCATCAATTCATCTCCACCATCATCACCCATCCCCACCGCCATCTCTCCAAATAGAATCAATCTGTCCTCCGTTCTTTGCTTCGCGGCGGCGAAGGAGCAAGGACGAAGTGGCACAGCGGATCTTGATTCATTCTTTCTTTGATGAGGGTAACGAAGGCGGCATGTGTTGCCGGTGTCAGAAAGGGTCCCCAACTTGGGAAGGCCCCTTTGTGATCCAAACTTGCAGATAAAAATCTTAGATTTGATTTTTTATTTCTTTTTCATCTTCTTCTCTTCATCTCAACCTCTAGATATGATTTTCTTGAGTGAGATGAGATTCCCTTTTAATTTCACTTTGTTTTTTCGATTTTGATTTTGTTGAAGAAGATGATGAGATTTGTCTTTGTTGAAGAAGATGGAGATATTTGATATTGTTGGAGGGATTTGATTTTATTTAAGTAGAGATTTTAAAATTTGACTTGAAGAAGAAGAGACATGGGAGACGGAAGATGATATTATGATAGGTCTGAGTGCCTGAGGCGAAGAAGAATAAGGGAAGGGCAAAATTGGAAAGTCAATACATTTTTCACTTTACATTAAAACCCGTGCCAAGTCAAAACGGGAAGTTTCAACTTGGACGAGGGAGTAATTTATATGGGACGGAGAAAATATTACTAATCATGCTCATATCAGCAACCTTCTTACAGATGAATGGTGAGATGAATTTTGAAACTGACTTGCATGAAAATTTTCCTAACGGTGATGATTTATCAAGGCACAGGATCTACCATTCAAGCCTAATTTCAGATTTCAATCTATTTCAACTCACACTTTCACAACATCCATCTTCATCATTGGCACCTTTATCCTAGCCTAATCCCAACAAGTTGTGGTTCCTACTTAGCAGCATGAAACTTCACAACTCTAACATTAAAACTAACTAGGATTCAAAAGACATGTTACATAAGTTAAGTTACTCCAGTAACATGATGTTGGGTCCATTGCAATTGGAGCTAAAAGAGTCATTTTATGATGTTTTAGCTTAGAGTATATACTGGACCAAATCAAAATTGCACAATGAGCTTCAGTTGCTTGTTAGTTGTAAGAAGATTTGGGCACTAAATGGATCAATGCAATGAGAAATGGAGCAATGAAAATCCCCNATCTACCATTCAAGCCTAATTTCAGATTTCAATCTATTTCAACTCACACTTTCACAACATCCATCTTCATCATTGGCACCTTTATCCTAGCCTAATCCCAACAAGTTGTGGTTCCTACTTAGCAGCATGAAACTTCACAACTCTAACATTAAAACTAACTAGGATTCAAAAGACATGTTACATAAGTTAAGTTACTCCAGTAACATGATGTTGGGTCCATTGCAATTGGAGCTAAAAGAGTCATTTTATGATGTTTTAGCTTAGAGTATATACTGGACCAAATCAAAATTGCACAATGAGCTTCAGTTGCTTGTTAGTTGTAAGAAGATTTGGGCACTAAATGGATCAATGCAATGAGAAATGGAGCAATGAAAATCCCCTCCATGTTACTTTCTATGAAGTTTTGGGCACTAAATGCATAAGGGTCTAACAAAAAAGAGTTCGCTATTTTTTTGGCGGGGGTAAGGTTGTGTACATCTTAACCGTGTACATCCCCCCCCCGAAACAAAAACAACAGAGTTGCGATTTTATTGGGTTCGTTGTTGGTATTTAAGTAACATGATCTGTCAACTACCATCATAACCATGACTCGAACATGATGCAAAAATAAATAAATAAATTAACTAATTAATTAAGAAAAATAATATTGCATAGAAGTTGTAGGTAGGATGTTAAAAACTCCATTCGTCCCACAAAAAAACATCACGCTTTCCCCTTTTCGATGTCCCAAATAAAACTTCTTGCTTTCTTTATTTTCTTTGTTAAGGATTGAACATGTGGTTCAAAGACATTCTCTTGCATCTAAACAATTTCCAAACACATATTTTCACTTTTCAACACTTTAATTAAACTCAGTGAAAGTGAAAGTAAGTAACTGTAACTACAGAAATAAAAAGAAGATTACCGCTACGAAGAACAGTAGCAACATCAGCTTGGTAGGCACGTAGTTCCTGCAGTTATGAACTTATTGAGTCACATACGGGGTTAGAAGAAGAATTATTATCAAATGATTACTTGCAATTGGATATGAGGATGCACTTCGCTCAGTCTCTTCTTTATTGTTGCTTGGATTATTTCACCAGATGATTCCTTGTCTTATTAATTGTATCATACTTTTTGTGTTTTAAAATATTTTTAAGGAGAGCAAGGTGGTCAAACTCATAGTTATTAGAGGCGCTCGCCTCTCTCGCCTATGGCGAGTCAGACGACAAGGAAAGGTCTCAGCACCTCAAGGAAGCTAGGCGAGGCGAGATCGCCAAGGCGCGCCTAAGGCGGTCGCCTTCCTCGCTTTTCTCGCCTCAATCACTACCTCAGGTGTTCGGCTGTTCGCCTAGCTCGCCTTTCTCGCCTCAATCACTGCCTTAAGGCTTTAGGATATGTAATGCATATTTATTTCTATATATTTACTCCATAATACACACACACACACACTGACACACACATACATATATAGTATCAATATTATGTGTTTATACATACATACATACATACATATAGTAACATACATACATATATATAGTAACATACTTTATATATATATATATATATATATATATATATATATATATATATATGCATGTACATTTGCCATTTGACCACCCGCCTCTTGCCATAAAAATGGGTCAATTCGCCCGCCCCCTCACCACTCACCATTAATAACTATGGTCACAAGTCATAAGATTGTAGCACAGATTGTAAGGTCCTACAGTTATCTATTGTGTGTGTGTGTGTCAGAAGGAGATAAGTAAAAAAAGAGCAAAAGCGAACTTCAAATGAAATAAGTACTAAGATGCAAAGCATCTTAACACAAAACTCAAAACAAAACATTGTAGAAGTGAAGAAGTGAAGAACATAGCGGAACAAATACATAACAAGGCATACCTGACTCAAATTGAAATGCAAATGATAGAAGCAGAAAGAATTAACAAAGTTAGAGCCCGATAGAATAAGAGCATAGTTTGTAAGGCGGCAAGGCGAGGCAAGGCGCCAATGTACCTTCATATCACCTAGGCGACTAGGCGCACACCTAGGCGACGACTAGGCGACATATATATATATATATATATATATATATATATATATATATATATATATATATATATATATATACATATATATATATAAGACCTATATATACATACCTATATATATATATATATATATATATATATATGTACACACACACATACATATATATATACATACATATATATACATACATACATACATACATATATGTATATGTATATATAGGTCTTATACATTTTAAGGAAGCTTGACAGAGAAAACCGAGAGAGAGAAGATAAGTTTAAGTCTATTAGGCTACACTAAAAGAAAAAGGTATGCGCTAAAAAATGGGTTTTTTCAAAATTTTAAAGGGGCCCAAGGCATCAAGGCGAGGTAAGGCGAACTAAGGCGAGGTAAGGCGAGGAAAGGCGACGCCTAGGCGAGCGCCTGGTTGCCTTAAGGTCTTCTAGGCGAGGCAAGCAAACAAGGCGTCCCAGTGACAGCGCCTTATCGCCTAGGCGACGCCTTACAAACTATGAATAAGAGTAGTAGGCATCATTTTCCAATTGGAAAATAGAAGGCTTGCAGCTTGTTGATTAGAGAGGTAGAACCAATCAGAAGATTATTCTTACTACTGTGATAAGGTTAGAAATTGGAGAGGTGTGACTTTTAGGAATTTGGATATGTTTTTTTCCTCCAAGGCTAAACTATAAATGGTTAGGAAAACCCGTCCGACCCTAGCGATTCTCCATCTCTGTGCACCTATCGAACCAATACAGGTAGATTTCTGATTCTAGGTGTGATCTGAATTGCTATAGCCAGGATCACTCGTACAATGGGATGATCCTACGACTTGGATTGTGATTTTGATTACCTTGAAGGAGAGTAGAGGAGAGGGAGAGACAAATAGAAAATGTGGAAAACCAAAAATGACATAGGTTAAAGGTGTGAAAAGAGACAGCATTGCGGAATAATAAACGTAAAATACACTGTATATGGTGCATGAAAGAAATGAGTGAAAATGAGGGTTTTGGTGGATGACTATCATGAGGCTAAGAGCATAGCTCGGATATGGCAGACTCCTCAAGAACAGTGCCTACAAGGACCAATTTTTTGCTGATATTGTCCCTTCATTTTTATTTATATGTCTAAGTTGACCAAATTAACCAGTTACATTAAATTCTAATGGGTGATCCAAACTTACAGCAACCCAATTAGATCCCACAATACTATGGTCAGGAGAGGGGTGTGTACGCAGACCTTGCCTCTACTCTAAACTTATACTCTGCAACACTGTCTAGAGCCCCCTCGCTGCAAGAGATCCTTCCATTTATGTTCCTCTTAGGAAAAACAAGCAAATTGAATAATACGGAATCGGTGAAAAAATATTTAATGTGTATAGATAAAACAAAATTAATAAATATAAAGCGGCGGTATAATATAAGGCTTGTACCATCGACCAAGGGTTATTTTCAATTGGTCCATGTAGCCAATAACATTGAGTTGGAAATTGGGATCATGGCCCAGTTAGTATTGTTTAGTTTATAGAAAAAGTATTGGCATAGTAAAATATTAGTGAGAAGGAAGGCGTCAATCACAATAGTAAAACCATTAAAAATACAAAATTATACTTCAGCACAATGGATATTTCTATTATTTAATGTCACTTGGTTCTCGCACATTTATAGAACTGAGTATAATTTAGTTTTTTCCTTTCTGATGTCAAGAACCTAATAGCTAAATATAAACATATTGCTAATGGATTACGGCAAAGTCAATAATGCAACAGACTATAGTATGGCAATAAATACACACAAATACTCCCTACGTGGCTATGTCCCAATATAATCTTCCCACTTACCATTTTTTTACTTTCCTAAAGTTATCTTTCCATTACTTATTTTATAAATTTCAGACTAGTGAAAAGCCACTTTCACTCTCAATTACCAAACAAAAATACACAGTATTCATTTTAAATGTCAGCCTAGTCTTAAAATGAGTGGCATTTTCACATGGGAAGATGATTTTGGGACAGAGGCTGTACATGTCAATAATATGCTAAAGGAAGAAATGCACATGCAAACCTCAAGAGCCTTTTCGGCATTTGTTTCTGTGATTACCCCTACAGCAGCATTTGCAGCTAATATCATCAAGATAACCTGTGAAAGTAGCACTTTACTTGGGAGAATACATTAATGAAAGAAAAATAGAACAAGTGGATGTTTGATATTTGTATTTATATATTACAACAAACACCTAAGGAAAATAATGAAGAACGTCGACATTACTGCTTTGTTTGGATGAAGGGAAGTGAAAGGGAAGTGAGGGGGTGGAAGGCAAATGGGAGGGAAATTTGAAATTTTCTATAGTTTGGTTGGAAGAAGGTTGGGAAGGAAATAAGAAAGAAGTGGGAGGGAAGTTGAATGATAGTGGGGAAAAAAACCTCCACACGTTGAGTGAAATGGAAGAGAAATTTGGCTTTGAACTCTCTTCCCTCATTTTAAGCTTTGTTCTCTCACATTTTTATTTTTTTTTTTATATAATTTGAACAAAATAACAAATTTATAATTATTATTATTTTAAAATCAATTTAAAAATTCTATGGTATTTAATTTTTTTTCAATGATCTTTAATTTATTTAATACTTCTAAGTAAAAAAAATATGTTATATTTTTTATTTTGAGCTAATTTTGAATCAATAAAATAATTTTTATATTTTTTATTTTGAGCTCGTGTCGGAAAAAAAATTAAACTGTTGACTATAAGCTTGTTTTGAATAAAAAAATTCTTATACTGTAAACATGAAATTAAATTTTTAAGTATATACTTCCTACGTCCTTGTGTGTTTGTCCAACTTGACTTTTAAAATCACACTATAATAAAATTGTTATATAAAACATTTGTGTTCTATAAATATTTTTTTAAGTTAATTATAATTTTATTTTAATAATTTTTTCCTTTCTAACTTCCATTTAACCAAGCAAGGTAATTTCTTCCAACCAAACAACCTAAAGGAAGTAGAATTTCCTCTCTATTTCCTTCCCCTCCACTTCCTTCATTTGCCAAACATAGTGTATAACAGCTCTAAAAATCTAAAACAATAAATGTTGACAACTTTGCATAGACTGCCCACTGCCCATTAAAGTGTAGGTAAGATTCCACCCCAGGTGTATCACAAATTCATAATGCTCTCTCAAAATGGCCACGGATCGAAACAATATCCATGCAAACTGTAATATGCTGCACCTATGCATATCTGGCTTCAAATTCTACCAATCTCAAAACAAACACATTCTAATGTTGTGCCTTCTCTGGAACACCTATATATCCTTATTCCTTGCACACATCCAATATTTTCAAATCTGGGCCAGAAGTTAAACCAGTGGCCTTACTGGTTCTTGGTTTAACCCATTCGACATATAGTTGAACCAGTCAAGTGGTGACCTCATAAATAAAAATACTAAAATATGTAGTTATATTATTGTTAATACAAAATATATACATAGAAATATATAATGTATAAATACATACAAAATAAAAGTATAATAGTATAAAAAAGGAAAGTTTCTCTTCAAAGATAAATATATTTACCTACAAATATAATAAGTTAGTGAAATATTAAAAAGATGAAGATAACATATTAAGAGAGATAAATAATACCCTGTAACTAACTATACAAGCTTTAGGAAGAACTAAATTCTGGTCGGATAGTTCATTTTTAAACATTTAAAAACACTAAATGATATTGCAAAAGATTAGATTAATTCAATTACAATATTTTGGGGAGAAATTAAAAAACAAAAAGTGAATTAGAGTTTCAGACAAGTTTGAACTATATCCGGTCCAAAGAGGTTCAATTGGGTCTTCTGAACCACTTTAGGCACGGTCACATGTCAAATTCGCTTATCCTTTCCAGTTCTAATTTTTTAAAAGACAACATTACAGCATCGCACCTAGCCACAAAATATGAAGTTCACTTATTCCTTTTTTGTTCGACTCACACACTTCTATTAAGGAATGATTTCAATGGTTGGCATGTTTTATACGAATTTTATGTAAATCTCAACCACATAATTTCACTTTATTAAGAAGCATGCAACTCCCAAAGCAAAATAAACAGATGAAAGAAATTTTCAATTATAATTGATACTGAAAAGGTCATACAGTAGGCTCCAAGAAAGCCGATGACCCTGTCTCTCCATTAGCCAATGCCAAAAAGAACGAAACGAAGGCAGCTACAATTAATATTTTAACCAGCAAATCATCGAATTGCTTCAGAACAAGCTTCCAGAAAGAGGTACCTAAATAGAACCATGACGTTATGCCAATGAAGCTGATGGGGGCAAGTAGAATTAGGGGATGAGAGCTGAAGAGAGAGGGTACTCAAACTCACTTTTCTCTTGAGGCAGCACTGGTTTCATGAGCAAATGCAGCAAAGGAAAAGACATTAGAGAAGCAAAGGAAAAGGATTGAAAATATTACGTGTAGAAGACTAGTTAGACAGAAAATGAAGCACAACAAAAAAATATATCAAGTTCATATCTACCACTTTTCTACCTTTTAGGCACTCTGTATGTTTTGGTCAGTCTGTTAGGGTGAAGTTTTTCATTTCTAAATAATGAGGTTTTTGGCAGATATGTTTTTCTATGCTCCAAAAATTCAGATTCTTGTTCAGGTCACGTTGTCTAGTATCACTGATGACTGATCATAATCAAACCCTTACGGCTTAACTCCCAAAGTCCTAGTATAGACCAATCAAATATTTTTATAATGAATACATGTACATAGCTAGATGTGTCCTAATGAACACTGAGTTTGCCCATGATGAATTTATAGAACAACATAATAAATACTCCTTCCATCTGGATTTTGTTTCCCACGTTTTTTGTTTTTTTGCGCCAAAATTAGTTGTCCATTTTTCACATTTGGTAAACAAATTATGTTGAATAATCTAAAAGACCCTCTATGTTGACATCAATGAATGACATCTATATCTGGACGGAAAGAGTATTTCATTGAAATGTTGAATATAAAATGGCTTAGTCCAAACATATGTACATTAATCAAAATTAAAGAAATTGAACAATTCTTTTATGTGCATTTTAGAAGATCACTTGACCACTTAATTTATGTTGACAATGTGTAAGGTGTACATCTTAACAAATAAGATGCAACAATGAGTGGGTTGATAAGACTTTCTCTCCTCTGTTAACCAGCATTTCAAATCATTCTTCATGCACCAAGCTGAACCCATAATGATTTTGGGAGGGTTTAAAAACTGCCTACTTTTTCATCAAATGCTAATGACAGCCCATTTGTAACCACTTTTACAAATTAAGTGATCACATATTAATGTACTACACTGGTACAGAATGCTGTGTATGCTAGCCATAATGCCTGGCATTCAAGATTAAGAGCCTGTTCTTATATAAAAAAATGTCTTATTCATATTAAAAAGTTGAAGAAAAAATAATAATGAATGTGAATTGTAAAAATAGTGAGATGAAAAAAATAATTTATAAACTATAAAGATGAACATAATAGTTGTAATAATAATAATAATAATAATAATAATAATCACATTAAAAATATTTCATTTTTAGAGTAATTGGTTGGGGAATAAAAAGAATTTGAAGAAAATAAGAATAGTTGGAAAAAAACTGGAAGAAACTGAAAAAACTATTAGAAACTGGAAAAACTAGAAGGAACTGGAAGAAATTGGAAGGAACAACTGGAAGTTAAGAGTTTAAGCCCTAGAGAACGGGCTCTAAGTGTAAAACTGCATAAGATTATATGAATAAGAATGCAGAAACAGGTTGGGAGTGCTTACCATTTCTTCCATACAATCTAGCATGTCGTGCAACCTGAGAAAGGGGAAAAGATTGAAACTTTGCATTCCATCCGAATAAGAAAATGGAACTAGCTCACCAACCAACAAAGAAAAAGTAAAACTAAAAATCTAAAGAGTAAAACTGAATTGAATTGTTGCATATTGATCAAACTAGCATTCAGATTTTATACACCAACAACAACACACAATATAATGCGACCTCCATTAGGGTCTGTGGGTCAAGAAGTGAGCAACCTTTGCCCAGGTTAAAAATAGAGAGGATGTTTCCATAAGACCCTCAATGCATATGCTACCAGAGTAGAATGTAAGAAGCAATGGACGTTAAATGTCATCTCAATTTAGTCCCGAAGCTAAAACTATGTTATAAATGATTCTTATTGCTCCATTGGAAATGGACACAGTCATTCAAAATTGTTAACAATTCCAAAAAACAAATGCATTGAATGTGATTCGCTGTGAGTTAGGATATGATAACAGTAAGAAGAACTAGCACCTGTGAATCTGTAAGACCTTTAGATAGTTCCACTCCGAAAAACTCAAGAACCTGTCCAAATACTTATAGCATTGTATCAAATCACAATACTGCTAACGAATCAAAATTTCAAAACGCTAGAGAAGACCTTTTTGTTTATCATTAGCCGGATATGAACGAATATATACCTCGGGTACTGATCTAGCATAAGCGTTCTCCATTGGGGAGGAAGAAGATCGCTCAGATCTGAATGATATTGAGAACTGGACAAGTAGCTTCTTGACGGGTTAGGAGTAAACTCTTGCGTGGAAAGGAGCCCCAAGGCTACCCTCCCAAGGGACAAGGTCCGCTGGTTCTTCAGAGGCGGGTGTCTTGTCTCCTAACTCAGATCAGAGCATCTCCACCTCCATTACTATAACTAGTAAGGAAATTTGGAATTGAAATTACTTGAGATTCAATTCCATAGAATTCGAATTCATCAATTCCAATTCATTTTTTGCACTGCCAACTCTAAATTCACATTATTTTTGTGCTACCAAACACTAGAGTTGGAATTGAAGTCCTCAATTCCAATTCCACAATTTGAATTTCGTGTACCAAACGGGGCCTTAGTGAGTTAGTGGGATGAATAATGTCCAGTAATGATTGACATTTACTTGAATAATGACTAATTAATAATGACCAAAAGTCCTACATTAAGAAAATAAAAACATATGATCCTATATTGAAAAAGTATTTATGTTTTAGTCATATTTATGTTGTAGGGCTGTATTTATTGTTATTATTTTTTATATTACTATTATTATAATCATATATACATCATTTATTATTATATTACTATTTATATGCGTATGTTTATACCCAAAATCAATCACTGACTTATATTACCATTCATAAATGGGAGAAACACCAAAATAGCACTTTAGTAGCACTTTAATACTCAAAATAGCAATGCTATTAGTTTTTTAGATGAATTCACATTTTTGTCCTTAAATAAACACCTAAAATTGAATAATCCTAATTAGGTTAAGAAAAGGTTTTTAACGACGCCAAGCCTTACGCAGACGTGAGCAGCCTTACGCGGACGCCATATCACAGTAGCCTCATGCAGCTGCCGAACGCAGACGAGAAGCCTCACGCGAAATTACACGGCGAAGGCAGCAGCTTCCGGAAGGAGACCAAGGGTTTCAATGACAAGCAAAGATGCACTAGACGAGATCCCTCTTAGCAAAAGATTGGACAAAATACAGGGATGCTTCGTTTTGGTTTTGAATTTGCTTCTAAAAAAGATTCTCATACGGAGTTTAGAAAAGTTTTTTTTCCCTTAGGATGGAAGTGGGTTTTTTGTTGAAGATTCACTGCAATGCGTGTTTTAATTTTCTGCAGTGTGTTGTAATAATCTGCAGTGTGTTTTTGTTTCCCTTATGTTCTCTGCAGTGTATTTTAATCTTTAACGGTGGCAGTGTATTTTTGATCTACGTAATGAATTTTTTCTGACTTTGTTGAACTCGTTTAGTGTTTTTGTAACACCTCAATCCGTCCAGGTCTGCAGCCCCTTTCGGACTAAAGTATAAACTTGGTATTTGTAAACATTCAAAAGGTTTCAAGCATTTTAAAACTTTATTTCATAATAAAGTATTCAGAATAATAACAGAGTAGTTAATGTTGCGGAAGCTGAATAAATAACAATTACAAAACATAATAATATTATGTCTTTTTAAACTTTAATTCATTTTACACATCCACTTTGACCATCTCGCTCCGTCTGCCGCCAGGATTCCATCACATCATTCTTTTTGTTTACCTCCGTGTAGCAAATAAAACATACTACACGCTTAGCGTTGAAGCTGAGTAAGCCTATCTAATGCATCGAACATCCATATAAATTGAATCTCAATTCATAATTAACCATTTGATATCATGCACACAATACATATTTCAAGCTTACATTATTCATAATATTCATAATATTTTATTTTAAGTCATTTCATGATATACTCAATATTCAAAATATTTCATCAGTGCTCTTAAATTATTCTTAATCTAAGGCCAAATCATTTTTATACAAGCTCTTAGCTATTCCTAGTCTAATGCAATATTTCTAACCAGGCCCTTAAACTATAAATAGTTTAATGCAGAACACAAGAATCGATAATCCACCCTATGAG